GGGGGGTTTTGGGGGGTCGGGGGGGTTTGGGGGGTTTTGGGGTCCCAGCCCCACCGCTGTGCCCCCAGAGCCGGATCCGGAGGATGTGGAATGACACGGTCCGGAAACAGACGGAGTCCAGTTTTATGGGAGGGGACCTGAACAGCACCCCGACCTTGAACCGAGGTGAGACCCCCTGCTCTGAACGGAGACCCCTCCCCAAAATCCCTGAGACCACCCCCCTGCCCTGAACAGAGTGAGACCCCTCCCCAAAAACCCCCAGAGACCCCCGAGACCCCCAGAGATCCCTGAGACCATCCTCTACCCTGAATGGAGTGAGACCCTTCCCCAAAAACCCCCAGAGACACCCAGAGACCCCTGGGACCATCCTCCACCCTGAACAGAGTGAGACCCCTCCCCAAAAACCCCGAAAACACCCCCCTGCTCTGAACGGAGTGAGACCCCTCCCCAAAAACCCCAGAGACCCCCAAGACACCCAGAGACACCCAGAGACCATCCTCTACCCTGAATGGAGTGAGACCCCTCCCCAAAAACCCCCAGAGACCCCCAGAGACACCCAGAGACCCCTGAGACCATCCTCCACCCTGAACAGAGTGAGACCCCTCCCAAAAAAACCCCAGAGACCCCAAGAGACCCCCGAGACCCCCAGAGACCCCTGGGACCATCCTCTACCCTGAACGGAGTGAGACCCCTCCCAAAAAAACCCCAGAGACCCCAAGAGACCCCCGAGACCCCTCCCAAAAACCCCACGAGACCCCCCCCAGATCCCTCTGGGCCCCTCAGACCCCCAGCGCCCCCCCCCCTTTTCCAGACCCCCCCGAGATGCCTCAGATCCACCTCAGACCCCTGAGTCTCCCCGGGACCCCCCCCCGAGACCCCCGAAACCCCTCGGGGATTCCTCTGGGACCCCCGCGTGTGACGCTGCCCCCCTCCCCAAATTTCGGCAGGGTCACATCTCCTGCCCAACCCGGTGCTGCCGCCGCGGGGGGGGTCCAGCCCCTACAACACCCTCCTGGCCGAGGGGGGGGGCTTCACCCCCGCCTCCCCCCCCGCCTTCACCACCCCAGGTGGGTACAGGGGGGCCACGAGCCCCCCAAAACTTCCCCCAAACCCTTAGGACCACCTGGGACCTCCCCCCCCCACCCAAATCCTTCCTCAGCGACCCCCGGGTGGGTGGGGGGGGGTTTTGGGGGGGGGTCCTGGGTGCGGGGGGGCTGAACACCCCGGTTCAGCCCCCACGGGGGGGAGGTGGTCCCATGAAATCCC